CTGAAGCGAGGAACGCCTGGTGAAAATCATGACTTTTACACCAACCTAAATGATGGATTTTTGAGACTTTTTGGCTGGTGTAAAATTCATGATATATGCCAGGCGTTCCTGGACTCACTATATAAGGGCATGCTCGCAAAGTACCTAAATTCTGCTCAGTTGAATGGGAACAACAGCAAATAAATAAAGTATAATAAACTTTATTGGTCGATTCAATCTGTTGCTTTTTTGTTCCCTCTTTTATATGATTTACATCTTTTTTCTGAAGTCCCTCATGAAATACACTACAGTTGGTGTCTTTTTATGAAATAGTTTGTATTTTTATTTGTTTTTTGATACCCAAGTCATGAATGTGTTTTATCAGATTARAGCTCTCCCGAAGATCACCCGAAGGCCCCCTCGAGACGAATGAGGAAATTGAATTCCCTCTGACCCTTTAAATAAACCAGTCAGCAGCGATGCAGAAACAATCCTGTGATTTATTTGACTTCATATTACATAATTACATCAGAACATGCAAAACTAGTGAATAAATCAACATCCCTTATCGAGCGATTCCCGAGTGGTGTTGTTTAGTAATCGATAAGCATTCGTTAAACGAATGCGATGAACATTAACAGAATTGTGAAAACTTCATTAAATGTTGTAAAAATCTATATTTTCAAAAAGACTTAATCATATATTTTTATCTACACCAATGGTTTTTATTTGAATAATATAAATACATCAAGTTCATTGACAAATGAGCGTGAAAATATTTTTAGGTGAAAGACAGCAAATCTAAAAGCTAAGCCAGAAACTTTTAAGCCAGCGTTATTGACATGCGCAACAGACTATTTYGCGTGGTAAGCAATTTTTCTGCATGGGAATTTTTTTTAGAGAAAATGAAAATACAAATATACAAAACGAAGCAAAGTAATTTCTATAATAACAGCCATTAACAAATATCTTTGGAATTTAAGAACGTTTATAAGCGATAATTGATTTTTTTATCATAATCTCATCGATGAGTTGTGCCATTTCTACGAGAATGAGATGAATGAAAAGCTTGTTTTTATTTAGATAAATACAGAAAAATTCGCCCGATGAACAGTTATCGATTAGGCGGTGAGCTTGCAATATCTATCGGGAGATAGGGCGTGGCACTAGGGAGGGAGGGGGGCAGAGCACAGCCTAGTTACCTCAAATCAACCCGATTGAATATGGGCCATCTAATTGCCTAAGCATTCTCCCCTTCGACCTAGTTTTCCATTTAATTTTTACGAAGTGAGCTAGAGCTATATGTAGTTAAACTGAACAGATTTCAAAGTCCAGTCTGCCATTTAACAAGTGCCTTGTGCAATGAGATTACAAGTTTCTCAGTAAGCCCATCAAAGGGGGAATGCTATACACCGTGATTAATAATTGTCTTCCCAAACTTCAAAAATTTCAAATTTTTGCAAAAACACTGATCCACAGTGTTGCTAAGTAACCAGCAAAAGCGTAACAACCGATGCTTAGCAACCATATAAGAAAGCTATGATAGCTTCGTTGCTAGGTGACCGCTGGTTACCATGGAATGCCAAATCTAGATTCATTTTTTTTGTTTTAAAAAGAATATCTTGTTTTCACTTGTCTTGAAGGCCTTTTGGAGGAGATAATTTCTTCAATTCCTGTCGTAGCTGTGCGGTGTGTTGTCTGAGAGAGTGTAAGTGGTGTACAGCGGCTCGTCCGCCGGTATTGCGCTGAGTCAGGGCTTCAACCTCTCGGATCCAAGTCTCACATTGCTCTAAAATTTCGTCCTTCTTTAAATAGAAATGACACTCGATTACCTGAAGGAAAATAAAAATGTTTTATTAACTGCCAGAGCAAAAAACTGGAATATATATAGTAATTTTATCGCTACGTTTTCTACACATCTCTTTAAAACAGTTTACGCACGCGCAGTAAGTCCACCGGGGAGCTGGGTATAGGGAACGAGGTAAGGCGGTAGTTCACCCTATCATTTGGTCGAGCATGCGCAGTAAGATTGACAAGACTCTGTAGTCGACAGTGCCATCATCTAGTGTTTTATACAAGGGAAAATTTCCCCTGGTTTTAGATCATTCGACACACACAGGTATCCCAAACCAACATAGTATTATCCTTTTTTWAAGAAATGTTGAAAGAACTGAGCAAATATATGCCCGGCCATGTCGTATATATTACATTGATTGACAGATATGACCGACAGACACCTACCTCTTTGAAGCACTTTGTAGGCTTCCTTAGCGGCTCCAGCATGGCCCACTTCACAGTGGCCTGGCGAATATTAGCATTGTATTCCTGTGAGTTCTGTTTTCCGGCGGGCGTCCCTCGGGACCGTTCGTAGCCCGGTTCATTGAAATAAGGTTCAGCAACCAGTATAAGAGATTGAGTAGAAACCAACACTTGTAGAAAACTAGATGTCTGAGGATTCCATTTCTCCTCAGGCCGACCGTGCCACGTGTTCAGGATACTGAGACAGACCTTGGATACAAAGATAATGGAATTTAGAATCTCTTGGATTTGATTTTCATGTTGATGGAATGGAATAGGATGATAAAAGTATGGAAGAGGGATGGGATGGAAGAACAATATTATCTGGTAGGAGGGAGGGAGCAATGATACTATGGAGAGGAGGAAAGGAAAGTTGAAGAGATGGGATGGAAAGTGAAGGAATGGGCGAACAATATTATCTGGTAGGTAAGAGGGAAGGAGTGCAGATACTATGGAGGGGAGAAAATCCATAGCTCCATGTAATATCCTCTATTTATACTTTGGAAGAATAGAAAAGAGAGTGAAGGACCCTTGACTCATATACAGGAAACAACAGAACTATACCTTGCCATCATTGTACAAATTAGGGTTGAATCTGATCGTATGATGTCCAGTTGTTTCAAAGTTGATCTGCATCGGAGCGTTGGGGTAGTTCGGAGGGAAGTACACATCGAACTCAAAGCAGCCGTTAGCATAAGGTGTCTCTGCAGGACCAGTGATCAAAACCTAGCAAGTAGAGTGGCATAGTTAGCATAGGGTATGTGTTTCACAGCTAACGTTGAAACAGGGTGACACACATTTAAGACAACAAAGTTGATTCAAGTGAGCTTCTGTAGGAATAGAGGTTTTGCACCATCACAGCTTGGGCTGCCTGTGGTTAGATGACAAAACAATAAAATCCCTTTGCTCTTGGGAATTGAATTCTTTCTCATGTAAAACGATCGTATTGTTTCTGCCATCGTGATAGTGCAAAACATCTATATAGTATAATCAAAGTCAACATTTGGTTAGGCCAACTGTTGGCATAAGGTATGAACTGACATCCATCGTTGCCACAGGGTATAGGCAACACTCAAAAATAACTACGTTAACTCAGTTCATACCTTCATAATATCCAAACGTGTCTCGTCACATCTCACGAACACACTGGAACTACTGGACAGCGGTAAAGACGTAGACAGTGACGTAATCTCTTGGGCCAAACGCCGCGCACGCGCAGGAGTCCCAACCTCGCCGTTTGAAGTGGCTGATCGTAGAGTTGACGCAAAGTGGTAGCTAAGAGTGAACTCCACTCTGTCTTGGTCTTCTTCGCTCACTATTTCGTACATGTCTGTAAAGAATGTTAATAAGAACGTAAGAAAACCTCAATAGCAATGAAAGGATATTTGAGACGCATTCTGTGGGAATATTACTAATGTCGTGCCGTGCTATGCCGTTACCATCCCCGAAAAATTCTGTGCCGTGAGATTTTCACAGTCATTCGAAAACTGCTCTATGCAAAGCTACTGTTCTGAAGCAATCATAGAGCAGGAAATCCTGCCACATGAACCAATCATAGAGCGGGAAAATCCTAGAGCAGGAAATCTTTTCACCTGAGCCAATCAAAGAGCGAGAAATCTTTTTATGTAAACCAATCAATGATCAGGAAATCTTTTCACCTGAGCCAAACATAAAGCAGGAAATCTTGTTAGTTGACAGCGCTTTAACACATACGTCCAAAGGTCTTATTTTTACTCGTACGAAAATCCTTCCCGCCCCACTCGACGAAGAACATGTATAATACAAAACGTGCAAGAAAGGTGAAAAGGATCTATTGACACGTAAAAGTTAGATATCATTTATTGAGAGCCCTAGAGAGATACAAACGTGGAGCGCAAAGAATCTTACCAAACTGCAAGGGTTTCATGACTGCCAGATACTTCTCTTCATTACTGAGTGACTGTGCTCCAACAACTCCATTTTTGTCATCACCATCTTGTTGATCTTCAGTCTCAGAATCGTGTAGGTGAATAAGGACATCTTGTACCAGGTTGGCTGTTGCCTGGATATCTGGTATGAGTAGCGCTAATCCCTCAGCGTCGGCTTCCTGGCTGTCTTGGTCTTGTTCTTCCTGGTCTTCCTGGTTGGTGCTGGTACCTACTGTCTTCTTTTTGCTGTCACGTTTGGTTCTCCTGATGGCCTTTGATGTAGTTCTGCACGACAAACAAACTCAGGTCAAAATATTTTTTAAACTTTTTTTTCAAAAGTCGTCATACCGATGGGTTTGAACGCCATCTTGTATTCTTTGAGGCACTGCCATTCTAGATTCTAGATCCAATTAATAATGTAACTTTTTTTCATTTTTCTCTATAATCCTTAAATTTCTTCAGAACATTCTGTGCTAGTATTTTGTGGGTGGATTTTTGGCGTGACTTTTTACCACTCCATCTGACGCACCTTAATGTCTTCGAATAAGTGTCCACACACTGTTTCATCTTGTCAATCAAGGCAGCCAGGCTTGTTGTATCACTGGAACCATTAGTATCCGCAGGAGCCAGAAGATGAACCAGACATGGACATGTGGCGAGGGCTCGCATCACTTCTAACACTGCCTGGTACAATGGCACGTGGCGCGCCATGTCTAGAACTACAGGGCAAAAACATAGACGATTAAAACTGGTAGCTATAGCAACAGATTTGTTCATATTCCTCACCATGACAACACGTCATTTTAATGGACCCCATGTTGTGACGTCAAAGCAGCTCAATTTGGAGGACAAAACAAAAGAATTTCAATCTCATGAGAATTGGAAACCTATTATGTCTTCCAAATTGAGCTCTATTTAAGCTCTATTAAAATGTCAGGTAGAGTGCATATTATATTTATAAATTTCAGTTGCTATGACGACAATATACATCTGCCAATATGTTACCATAGCAACAGGGAAGGAGGTTCTTGATTACCTGAGTCGTTCCTGAGGTAAGAGGATAAAGTTGGCACAAGACATGATCGGGACAGGAGTTCTGCCATGGCTGGGGGTATCTTGTCACATTGGGTACTGTAGTCTGATGTGTGGTCGGGCTTGGATAACTCGTCTAGATTCTGTACACCAGATGGATGAATATATCCACCAAGGACCTACAGGAAACACTCACTCATTATTGGTTGAAATATGACTTCACGAATAACATTGCATTGTGATGCTAACGGTGATGATGGTGACAATGATTATGGTGAAGATGATACTGTTGTCGCTGATGATACTGTGGTCGCTGGCGATGATGACAATGATGTTGCTGGTGATGATGCTCGTGATGGTGATGACTGGGATGATGATTTTGATATTGCCCTGTGATGCTAATGGTGGTGATGATGGTGATGATGGTGATGATGGCGACGATAATTATGACAACAATGGTGGTGATGATGATAATCGAGTGATGATGATGATGACAATGATATTAATGATGGTGGTGATAGTGATGATGAATATGACGACAATGGTCGTGGTGATGAAAATAAGGTGATAATGATGATGGCAATGACAATAATGATGTTGGTGATGGTGATGATGATAATGAGGACAATGGTGGTGATGACGACAATGGTGATGGTGACGACAATAGTGATGGTCATGGTGATGCTAATTATGATAACAATCATTATTAAAGTCGTTTCTTGTTGGATTTTCAATATGACGATGCCGATAATTATGATGCTGAATGATGACAGTAGTGATAATAATGATGGTAATAATTACCTGTAGCATACATGTAGTATGTGCCTCCTCTGCTTGTTGTTTCTTCATAGCATTCTCAATGTCCCAGTCCGAGGCCGTAGATCCTGTACCAAACCCAGTCCCCTTGGCCCAGTACTGTTTCTCACTATTGCTGCCTTGGTCTGACCCTCGCAACAAACTGTCAAGAGTAACAACATACGTGAGTATTATTACTGTGACTTAGTATATGGAAATGGTATAGATAACGATAATGATGGGTGATGATGATGGATGGTGATGATGGATGATGATGATGGGTTATGATGATGATGATTGATGATGATGATATATATATATATCTAGATATATGTATATTATCTTTTTTATTATATATGATGTGTTATAATATAGCTTGTATGTTCACATGTTTTTGAAGGGGTTTACGTGTGTTTCTTGTCACGGGCCTTTTTGAAGGCAGGTGAGTATATTGTATATTTTATCTTAGATTTATACTTATTTTAGCATTTATATTTAACTTTTATATCATATTGTAATTTGTATTTGTCAATGCTTCTGAAAAGCCCTGTAAAGGGATGAATTAATAAAGTATGTATGTACGCATGATGATAATGGATGATGTTGATGATGGATGATGGAGATGATACACGATGATGATACATGATGATACATAATGATACATGGTGATGATGATGATACATGATGGACGATGGCGATGATGATACATGATGATGATGATGGATGATGGGGATGATACACGATAAACGATGGTGATGATGATGATGGAGATGATAATGACGAAGCATGATGATGATGAGTTGGCTCGCTAACAACGTCAGCAACATTAACCATGATAATCAGCTTAATGCTACTTACAATAAAAATAACAATGATGATGATAATGATAATGAGTATAAGATAATAACAGAACCACAAAAAGCTAAACAAGTAGTTGAATCGTGTATACATACTTTCCAGTCAGTGCTGCAACAGTCTGCAAAGCCAGACGGTCCGTAGGGCTGATGTCTCGAGGTTCGTGGTGACTAAGCACACCAAGGCACATCAACACAAGCTGGACTGCGCCTTGCTCCAGGGCTACTTGTCGCAGCGAGACGCCAGCATCGTTGGACAGTAAGGTAGAGTGGAACAGAAGACGCAGGATTTGGAAGGGTAGGGTGGGTAAGGAGCCTGCTACCTGCGATGATAACACGTGACCTGCAGGACAGATGAAAAGATAACGGTAAAGATAATTTTTTCTTTTCTTTTTTCTTTTTTTGCAAAATATTGTGAAACAATCAGTTCTCTCCCAAGCAAGTTTCTTAATAAGCCTTCTTTTGTGGCCTTGTGTGGAAGAACACGAAGGGCAGCGTGTCTGTCATTGTAGGCTGGTCATAAGATTCGGCTCTGACGTAATGTTTTCTCATTTCAGACCACGTGTCATTCCCTAGAGTATAATTTATTCGTTTAAGGTTTGCGCTTGATTGCTATGAGAAGACACATGAATATGGATACAGCTCAAACAAAGAATATTATGCTCAAGGGAATGACACGGTCTGAAATGGGCAAACATTACCCCAAGCCAAAAGGTCTATTGATACCAACCAATAGAATACTCTCTGGTTGATGGAACATGAGATTTATGACATTGGTAAAGGTAGATGATTCAATAAAAATCGTATCATTTATGAAAATTACGAGCACTACACTTACCTCCATTGCCATCATCCTCAGCACCAAGCAACAACCTCAATAGACACTGCGCTTTAGGTCTGTCCCGCAACAAGACATTAGCGTATCCAGGAAGAGAAATAAACAGGCCAAATGCTGCTAAAGAATGACCCGGTATCCTGCTCAGCACTGAAGGAGACAACGAAAAAAGCGGTAGAGGGAATGCAAGGGGTAGAGCAAGCTGATCAGAATCACTCGAAGCTGCTTCCTGCATTGGTTGGTTCATCACCACGGAGCATGACAGCCTAGATGACAGGATAGCCAAGCCATTGAACGAAGCAAACTTGTGCAATGCGGTAGGCAAAGGTAGTGTATTCAGCAGAATATCTTCCTTCACGTGCGAGGAAGGATTTCCACATGTCTTGAGAGACAACTCGATGCAATTTGTACCCGCAGGAAGTCCTCGAGACATAAGCACACTCAATAGACTTGTCAGGCTTGTCTTGCTTGGTATCAGGATATTTCCAAGAACAGCATTATGGCGGCAATTTGCGGACGCTGTACCTGGTTTTAGGAGGCTTGTGTCAAGCTTCTGGCTGGATATCTTGCGCAGAACAGCGCTTCCTTTAGCACGTTTTGACTTGACATTAATCCCAGCCGCGATGCTTAAGCCCTCAAGGATCTCTGCATCTCCAAGCGCTGTAAGGTCGTCATAGTCTCCATACGTGGCAGCTTTGTCGTCGTCTGAGCCACTACCCTCGGTAGATTTCTTAACCGACGAGTTGGGATGAATTATCTCATCTAGTTCTTCGATAGTTGAGGAGAGATTAGCCCTGATTAACAGGATGTTGTACCCAGCACCAAACCTTGGATGCCAATCACTACTATGGCTGAAGTTTTTATCTTGTGGAGCCATGAATGGCTTTAACACAGAGCCATACTGAATACAGACTTTGATTTTCTCATCCTGTAGAAGCGCTTCCAGAACAAGTCGTCGCAAGAAGCCATCAAGACCAACTCCTCTTGTACTACCGGGCATACATTCCCCTGTCGTGGATATAAACTCTAATGGCGTCTCCATCACTTCACACAGGAGCCTCGCGAAGAGATCCTGGTTGTCAGGATGGCTGCTGATACATTGAGTGAAGTACTTGATTGCAGCAGACTCTAGTGCRATTCGATGGCGTGTTCCTAAGGGTGGGGTCTCCCTCTTGGTCCGGGACACAGGACTATAGAGAATGCCGGAACCAAGCAGCAGCATAAGCAGCTTCCAGAAATCCCTTCCACTTGTGCCGCACCACGATTTGACGACAGGTTCTTCAGCACAAACACCCATGAATGACAACACATCAGATAAATAGTCCAGTGACAGAACTATCCCATCATTGGTCTCGCTTCTTTCACTACTACCTCGCGAGGACAAGAGGTTATTACACAGACGAGTGATACTATCATGGAGGACATTCAACAGCCCCGAAGCAAGGACTAGATGTGATGTGACAGGAGACTGACAGGCACGGGCAAGTGTTTCCATGCTGCTACGGTTGATGACAAACACGAGGTATGAAGGTTGGAATTCATTCTGTGTTCTTGCTTGTTCAACAAGTTCCTGGGCGTCTGTCAGGTGTAGTAGGAGCTGGAAGTATGATGGACAGACATGGCAGAGGGAGCAGATGACATAATCGATGGCTTGTTTTAAGGGTTCTTGTCTGGCAACCAGCTGTGACCATTCGTAGAGAGATCTGCATTGGGAGAGGGAGTAGGGATCAATGTACTATATACTACTATGCAATATGGAATGGCTAGCTGTGGTGTGGAATAGCATGGTGTGGTGGGGCTATATATCAGCATACCTGAAAAGTTGTTCCCTATATTCTTCCTGCACGATGGAGGCAAGGTCAGAGTCAGCTGTAGTCCACAGCACAGTGCCAGCTGCCTGTACAAGACCTGTCAGGTTGTTTTGCACTGCTGGCAACACATGCGAGTACGAAGACATGGACTCAAGCCAGTCTGCGAGAATTCTTAACCTATGAAAAATATAGAAATGTGTGTAAATGACAATCTAGTTACGATCATGTTGCAGAAATAGGCCATTTTATATAGGCTGTAATTTTTCCTATTATGCCTAACATTATGGCTAAGGTAAAGACCTATCGGCAATTTTTTTACAAAACGGCAAGATCTTTAAACTACAGCTTTGCACAAGATACTTTCAAGATCCCAAAGTACTTGCTCCTCCTTGGGGGTATCCAAGGTCATGTTATACTCAGGTCAAGGTTATGCTCTGCCCGGCTGCCCGAGGTCATGATGTGCCTAGGGACTCGATGCTGGGCTGAAGAAGAGTTCCTTGGTGAAGTATTGTATTACCTTTGTTTAGCAAAATCTCCACCAGTTTTCCCCAGTTTGTAGACAAGCTGTACAGCTGAAGGTGAAACTAAGATTGACTGGGATATATGAGCTCGTCCTGGAGTTACAAGAAGCTTTTTCAAAAGGACTTGACCAAGCTCACTGAACTCTAGAGCTAATCTCTGAAGGACTGCTTCCTGGCATCCTGAGAAAAGATCACTGGCAGAGAAAACATAAAACCAGAATGATTCAATATAAGCATAGAGTAGACGATACATGTCAAGGGTGGGTCCAGGGGGGACAGGGGTGGGTCCAGGGGGGATGGGGGTGGGTCCAGGGGGGCCCATTAATATCACAATGGGTTTTGCTAGTAAACATGAAGCATCACTATAAGAAGTGTCATTACCTTTGAGGTGCGCCTAACAACGATATGCAGATGCTAAACACATCACTAAGGAAGCTGGAAGAAGAGAGGCTTGTGATCTCCGCTGATGGCGTGCGGTGCAGACAGTGGTGGAGAAGACAAACCCAGTTTAGACTTAAAACAAATTGAAACTTATTAGTATTGAATACACGATTTTCTAATTCGCACTGTAAAGCTTCACAGACTTTGTACCTTGATTGCAGGCTCATTTACTCAAGGTTATACTCAATTCATTACAGAAGACCAACAAACACCATTGGTAAAGTAAAGAATGCTTAACTATTAACTATATTTTTTCTAGTATTGCATTCCACGCCTCAAGATTCGCAAAGTGTTAAATGGTATTTCTTTGTTTTATAAATAGATCTCATTGTCTCTATTGACATGTGAATATTCCAGACCAAACAAAGTCTGAGCAACAGAGAAAATTGGAAACTGAAATAATAAACGCCCTGTTAACAGTCTTATTTCTCCCTTTGATATTCCTTTGTATTTACCCCGATGGTTCCTGATCTGAACCACCCTTTCTCATACAACCAGTAAGTAATGACAAACATTGGCCACCTACCAATCAGAGTAGTCCCCTTGACTGCCGCRGGTGGGTTGTTCTGGGGGTGGTCCATATAACGAGGTACCCCATATCTTGATCTGAGACAGCCCTAGTGATTCCGAGTCCCTTGGTCGACGGCATCGTACACAGATACGCTACAAAACATAAGAAGCTTAAATAATAAGTATTAGACTGTTTTAGCACTAATTGAGCAAATTTCGTAACTGGGGTCCCTGTGGTTACAGCAGGGTGGTTAGTTTATTGCTTGGACTACCTCTATCTTCACCTTAGCTTACCTGAGCTATCTGAGGTTGATCAAAATGTAGCCTGATCACACTTAGACCACTTGTCATGACTGGTTTGCTTGCTGGCGTCATTACAGCTCCATCTACACTGTAATCTAGTGCGATGTATGATGGACAACCTACCAAACGAAACAGTAAGGTACATCAGTCAAACAGCGATAGTGCATATGTACAGCATGGAGTAGGATAGGAGTGGGTAGGTTTATTGTAAGGTCACTTACTTGTCAGCCCTGCTCTATGTGGGTGTACATGTACAGTATGGAGTAGGATAGGAGTTGGTAGGTTTACTGTAAGGTCACCTACTTGTCAGCCCTGCTCAATGTGGGTGTACATGTATAGTATGGAGTAGGATAGGAGTGGGTAGGTTTACTGTAAGGTCACTTACTTGTCAGCCCTGCTGTATGTGGGTGTACATATACAGCGTGGAGTAGGATAGGAGTGGGTAGGTTTACAGTAAGGTCACTTACTTGTCAGCCCTGCTGTATGTGGGTGAACATGTACAGCGTGGAGTAGGATAGGAGTGGGTAGGTTTAYTGTAAGGTCACACCACAGTTCACCAGGGTAGAAGTGGTAGGACCATGCAGCAGATCGGGTACGCCGGTGTGGTATACTGGCCTTCAGCAGAGTGTCAGCTGGGTGAGACGAGGGTCGTGAGCAACTTATGGTACCTAGAAAAAATTATCAAAAAGAGTTATCCATTTACCATTTCTTAACAACACAAGAGTAAGATAATTGATATCCCATCCCATAAGAATATCCCAAATTAAGTCAAACCAGCATTTCATAGGACTTTTCGTTCATTCTGGTAAATAAGATAAAATGCAAACTTTTGTAAAGGGAAGGATACTTCAAGAAGATTAGCCAGTTATGTTCTCTTTGATGATCATGGAAACTATCTATCTTTCTAATCTTTTCTTTGCTTGAGAGTATGGAACTGTATGGAACCTTACATTGCATTCTTTTAAGCGGATGTTCAAATCTTTGAGAAATGACCCTCCAACTACACCGAGATCGTACACAAACCTAAGCTTGTCAAGCCACACTACTAAAACAACCAAAACGAAAAWAAAAATTTTTACCAAAAGGTGCATAGTTGACCGTGCCATGATCTTTCTCAGCTTCCCAGACAGCATTCAGAAGAAGTTGGGCTGTGCTGTTATTTGATTTGTGTGCAAGCTTAGTAAGTTGTCTCATGACAGGAATGAGATCTTGGGTGTTGTCATTCAACTGGTTGGAGTAACTTGATACAAGATTCTTGAACAATAGTTCATATCCTCCTGAAAGATAAGAAGTTGAAACCATATGAAAAAATAAGATAAATGTAAACACCAAATGGTGACAATGATGATGGTTGCTGCCTGTTGTTGCTGCTACTGTTCCATCTGTCATTATTGTTTCTGTCACTCCTGTATCTTATTGTTGTTGTTGCTGGTGGCACTGTGTTTCTGTTGCTGCTTCTATTGTCATTGTTACTGTTGCTATGACCAGTGGACTTTACGGGCAGCATATTTTAAGAGGCGTTATTAGCAGCCGTGCAGCTTACAATCATGAGTGACTTGTTAGTAGATTACTATTTTTAGTAGGATGATCATGATCATCTTAAATGTCACAATAAAGATAACACTAATGATAATCTTGTCCAGTTTGATAATCTTATTCAAACTGGTTAYAGCTGTGCTCTGRGGTCATACATGGACTGTATAGCTGCACCACTGCTGTACTTGCGGTGGTGATAAGCGATGACAAGTTTTTTTGTTAATGATGCTAACATCTGAGATGATGACAGTGATGACAACAATAATGACTAAAACTACACCAAACAAACGAACGTTCATACCTTGAGTATTAAAGGTCTCCACTTGCTTATTGGAATCAAGCATTCTGAGAAGAAACCACAGGAACGGCTCAGACAGTGACGTCACAGGGACACTCTCACACCCAGACAGATACTTGATCACTGTAGCAACCAAATAATTCTGGTGGGTGAGCTGACTGTAGATTATAGAAACCACCTGAAGTATGCCGTCCTCAACTGAAACTGGATCGCCAGAGACAGACACACTTTGACTGCTGTTAAGTATATTAGCACCTGTCAGTAATACTCCGATGTTATTAGAGCTGCACAAGTTGAGACAATTGAGAAGATTGAGGCAAATATCATCATCTGTGATGATAAGATCTGGAAGCACACTTTTAGGAGCTTTGTTGACTGGGGGGAAGTCCTTCTCCWGTGGAGGTTTGGGATCTTTTTCATCTTGCAGGTCCTTTTTGGCCTCTTCCTTGACGTCTGCGACAATATCTTTTTCATTGATTTTTGGTAATGGCCCTCCATCTGCTGATGGGGTAGAGTCTTCCTCACCTCCAGATGTGTCAGTTCCTGAAGTAGAACTTGATGATGAATCCTCCTCAATCATGTTTATAATAGGCTGTGCTTCTTCACTCGATTGGGAAGCATTCTTCTCAACTGCCTTTGCCATCGCTTGGAGTGTCTTCACCATGCTGTCTGAAGCATCTTCATCGATTTCATCCCCAACTGAGCTTATATCTACCTCGTCTTTTTTACTTGTACCACAGGGAGCTTCTTCTACATTAGCTTTTTCTGTATCTTTCTTAGAACCCCCATCATCTAGCTTCACAGCACCATCTTCTCTATTCTCAGTGTCTAAAGTTTGACTACTCTTCTCTTCAGGTAGTTGCACAAACATGATAATGACACCCAGCAGCTTGGTCAACCATGTGCTGTGCACGATCCATGGACCTTCAGTGGGCTTCCCTTCAATCAGATTAGACGATGTGGTCAAACGAGGTGTCTCGTGGAAGTGGCTTGAAGCTTGAAGGGATATTTCATCCTTCTTTTGAAGATGCTGTAGTGACAGTCGCATTGCGAGGTTCAGGAGTCTGATCACCAGGGAAACATCAAGGTCTTTCGTGTTTGAAGGAGGGTGCTTTAGTAACACCCTTAAGATTGGCTTCATCTGAATGGGTCTTCCACTGTAATTAACACTAGAGTGAGAAAAATTAAATGACATGTTGAACTAAAAATGCTTTTTTGAACATTTGTGGCTGAAGCTGATTGCAGCCAACAAGTTAGCTCTCTGATGCAAGAAGGGGAATTCAAAATTTACCCCAAAATATTTCCTTTTCAGAATCCAAAAATCATACCAATGAGTATTACACACATTCTAGTGTTTGTAGAGAGAATGCAAAATTTTGAAAATAATTTGAAACAAGATGTCATTTCCCAAATGATTTGATATGCAACCACATTGAGACAAATTGGATCAATAAGGAGGCTGTATTCTTATTAGGAATGTTTTTCAAAGGTCCATTTATATTGTTTTATTTTCCTTACTTTCCAGATGCAAGTGAACAAAGCAACTCCAACATCATGTTGTGGAACTTGGCAAACAGTACCCCATCTTCTTGCTTCTCTAGAGCAATAGCCAAAGATGACAAGAACGCTTCGACCTGCTTGATGCCTGTTCCAGATGTTCCTACACCAGTCTCTGCTCCATAATCCTTCGGGGATCCTTCTATTAAGGTCCTCTGTAGCACTCCTAGAAGTTCAGGGTTACTGACAAATACCTCTGGTAAAGAATACTTTCGTACCCCCTCTAGAGTGTGAAGGGATGCATCTTTGCTAGACTTCTCAAGAACAGTTCTCATGGCTTCAAATGCGAGATAAAAAGTCTGCAGGGAGATACTTGGACACGTTGCCAAGAAGGACAACAAGTTGGCCAACGACTTCTTACCCAGGGGAATGAACAGCTGAGTTTTGTTTGGACCAGATGGAAGAAATGCATTGAGGCGAAGCCAAAGCTCCAGGAGTGATGCAAGGTCGACTTTCGGATCATTACACTTGGAGAAAAGCTTATTGAAACAGTTAAAGAACATTCTCACCATTCCAGCTGATGATGTGATGGTCTGTAGGTTCATTACCTTTGTTGAACGGTACCTTGGAAGGCGGCTGTTGGTCATACCTTTCAGAACAGCGTCACCTTGTACAAGCTACAAACAAAAATGGTGTTGAATTATACAGTTTGTGAGCTTCACAGACATATCTGTGAACAAATATTAGCAAACGATAAAATAATGTTAGGAATTCAAAAGAAAAGAGAGGGTAAATGTACAGTGCTTTAATAGCTTTTTTGTAATTTTTTTATTGTTTACAATAAATGTATTTTGGATACAGTGCCTTAATCTGCAATTTGACCAATTGAAATGAAAGAAAAAAATCACACTTTACAATTGGCCTATGACATAATTAATAAGGCATAAAAATATATCTATGTAATTGCCRTTTGGCTTAACCAATCAAAATGCACAAAAAATCTCGTAGTCCAATTGGCTTAACCAATCAAGATGCACAAAATCACTACATACAATAGGCTTCCCTCCTAACCAATCAGAGCAAAAAACACCACATGATCCAATAAGCTTGATTGATTAAAAGGAACAACACATCACAGCATGCAATTTGCTTCTGTCTTAACCAATGGAAATGCACAAAAGTTCACTATATACAAATGGATTTCTCCCTAAAAAAATCAAAAGGCACAGAAACTTATACGATCAGACAACAAGTGCTTGAACTGGGGAGCGACTAAAAATTGTCGAAGACGTCTCAAAACAAACCTGTAATGTCTTCAGATCCCATTCAGCTTCCATAGTGACACCCAGCTCCAGGCGAGCATCTAGGGCAGTTGACATCTTCGACACAGGACTTGTGCTAGAAGTAGTCAGGGTTGAGGCCAGGGGTTTTGGTTGTATGTAGAGGGAAGAGGTTACAGATGTGGGAAGGTGTGTTTGGGGTGGTGGGATGTCATAGATTATTGCACTTGGAGGGAGATTGGCCCAATCTGTAAAGTAATCCATGCCAGATTGCATATTCTCCATGCTTTGCATGGCAAATGTTCCTGGTGGCTGTTGTTGCTGTTTTGGTTCACTTCGATTTACATTAATGCGCAGTTCCACTTCTTGTTTGGTTTCTTCATCAGAAATGATCTGCACTTCGCTCTTATAACCTGAAAAACGGCAGAATAAACAATAAACTAATGCAAAGATATGGATAAAACTCCTTTATTGTATCTTGTGGCATTTCTAGGTCTTTCATTTTCAAAACCTTGTGATACCTTAAACTATACATGGTACATGTACCTAATAGTGCCTCAGACAGTTCATCATGGGTCATGGGTCATGTCATGGTCATGTCATGGGATGTCATTTCCCAGCTTCTTGTGGTATCACACCACTAGGCAATGAACTATTGAGTAGCTGCCATGGGACTTAATATAATGTCACTTCCTAACCCCTTATAGTACCAATAAACAAGTAACTATTGAGTACCTAACAAGATAACTTCATAGGACTTCACTTCCCAGACCCATTATGGTAGCACCACTACACAATGAAAAATTTGGTTACTCTGGAAACTATGGGGCTACTAACTTTTTGGGCCCTTGAGGTACCACTAGACAATGAATGATTGAATGCTTACCATTCATAAGGTCCTGAAGAAGAGTGATAAGAGCATGCCTAGTCCATGAACCACCACGGTTACTGGAACAAAGCCGGAGAATTGACTCCACTTGTGATGAATTTAAAATATCTGTCACAAACACACTGGGTTGACTGATTGACGAAAGCAGAGCAACAACCTGGAATATGTTACAGGAAGTCAATATTTATAGATATTGGTGGGGGGGGATCTTGAGTAGGTTAACTGGGGTGCCTGTGCAACAGCCCGCATCCTGCCCAACAATGTCTTATGAATGGTGAAAATAGTATCTCCCCATCAAAAAAGTAAAAACGTTCTGTGAAACATGAACTGAAAACCACTTAAACTTTGCACATTTATCAAGTACAATATTTAAAGACCTTTTCAGATTGGGCATAATGTTTTCCCATTTTAGATCATGTGTCATTCTCTAGAGTATCATTTCTTTATCTACCAGTTGTGCATAAGAGGACATAATGATGATACAACACAAAAAAAAGTCTTATTCTCAAGATAACGACACATAGTCTGAAATGGGAAAACATTACTCCAAAGGTAAAGAAGTCTTTTAGTGGACACTCTTTTCCAAAACCATCTAAAACCAAAACTCTCCAAAGTAATAGGTTGTCGTTAGTGTTGGGTCTATACCTTGCATATAGTGAAGACAAGATCAGCAGGACAAGAGGAATCCATATTGAGAACCAGTTGAATCATCTTCTTCATGACAGGAATGGTAGAGATCTGAGACAGGAAGAGCCTGACTGTAGATTGAGGCGGTGCTTTGCTTGATGTTTTTATTTTACCACTGATTGTCTTCTTGCCCTTGCTTGAGGATGCCTCAGCTTCCTGGTTGCGTAGTTTAACCAAATCTTTTATATGCTGGAAGAGAATCCAAATTTGTACTGTATCAGAGTCCGTCCGTGTAAAAAGAGTGCTCTTGCATAGTCACCGTCACAAAGTTCTGAGATACTGAGTGGACTTAAACACGGTAATTTATCAAATCAAATACCTTAAACTATTTTTATCAATACCTTTAAATAACTTCTTGGCTGATCAAAGTCACGGCACAGCTAATTCATAGATCCAATTGGAATTTAGTGTGTTGGGTTTTATGGAGAGAGAAAAACCGGAGAACCCAGAAAAAAACAACACTAAAATCAAGGGAGAGCCCTAGCAAACTCTAAGCAAATGTGATGCTGAGTCCAGGAATCAAACTGTACAAATGAGTTTGCATTACAAGGAATTTCAAAGTGAGAATAAATAAAATACTTATCATGATGGTAATGCATTTTATAATAAAGAAGGTAAAAGTACATTATGCATGTAAACCTTGAGAGTACAAGGAATTTCAAATAAAGAATAAATAAAATACTTGATAGAAATCATGATAGTAATGCATTTTATAATAAAGAAGGTAAAAGTACATTATGCATGTAAACCTTGAGAGCCTGAGAGGTAAACTTCGACTTGGCGTACGCTTGTTGGATATGTTGTACCTCAGGCGAGTCCGTTCCTTGTCCCTCCATTATCTTCTTCTGCTGTTTCTGAAGTTCCTGCAATTGTTTTTCATGGATTGAGATTTGTCGTCTCAGCTTGTGGCGGTTTTGTCGGGCCATGGAGCTCGTTGATTGCTGGGATGTCTGGGTAGCTGGGGAAGGGACGATGAAGTCCCATTTATCAGAGGAGCTGGAGATAGATGGCTTGGCTGAGCTTGAACTTGCTCCACTCGTTGAGCTTCCACCGACTGAGTCTGCAAAACAATAAAACATAGTTATTCATGATCGTAGATAATTATTGAGAAAAATGTATAGAAATTATCACCTAGGAGAAGTTTCTAAATTTTATGCAGAATCATCCTCATTTCCATTCAACTTTAACATGGACTTTCTTGGTTAAACATGGTTATAAGCATTTGAAATGTACCGAAAACATTATAGTGAGGCTGGTAGGCCCTTGGTTGTTTACATACAAACCTTTCTACTTTCAAACAGCTGTAGCTTTTTTATCATTTAATGTTACTACACTGAAATTTTGGAATTTTTGTCTGCTATAACTGATGAACTAAGGTATATTAAGGGACACACCTTTTTTCATATGGTCTATAAAGATAAGCAAGTTTGGTTTGGCAACTGAACTCTTGTGCAACGTTTCTGGATTATTATCGATATTATTATGCAATGTACAAGTGCAAAATGGGAATATAAATACTTCAAATTGCATGAAGCACAACTAACTRCTAACCTGAACTCTGGATTCTACCAACACCACAAGTATTCAAGATGTGTGCAAGTAAAAGAACTATCCAGCCAACAAGAGAGATGTCAATATTTTGGGTATCAACCTGTCCAAGCTTGCTTTGGCCTGACAACACTTCATCAAGAAGACGAAGCAAGCTCTTCAGGACTGGCATGACATCAGGAGACTGCTGGACGAGAAGTGATAACACCACAAACACCCTAGAAGAAAAAGAAAAACTGTTTTTTCCCTGAAGGACAGATTTGCATCCTGTAACAAAAATAGCTTACTAACCTTTCTTGTGGGAAGACAGTCTGTTGAGATGATGAGAAGAACTGTTTGAGAATGTCAGCCAGGAAGCTTCCCCACCATGGCTTGGTACAAGACGTGTGGAGTAACAAAGCTGCCACACGCACTCTCAACACAGGGTTCCCATGAATAAAAATATTCTTAAATAAGACTTCGCACAAGTCTCTAGGGAGTGAGGATGTCTTGATTTGAAGATCTGTTGGGTTGCTTGCTTTTGCAAGGAAGCCTCTATCATCTGGGCTGACTGCTGCAAGTGCCACTAGGGTCTCTGCTAGGCAGGTACATAATACTCTCACCTGATCATAACCTGCTTCAATATGGGACCCATATGTTTGTACCTGCTGGGTTTGTACCCGCATGATTGCTTGATGAACGAAATTCAGCTGAAGCTGCAGGTCGATGCACTTGTTGTACACACTTTGAATTTTGGTTTTSTCGTCTGAGTTGTCGAGTAATGACTCCAGTTTGCTGCACGCAAGGCTGTAGTGACAGTGAACTTCCTCGTACATGTTCTCCAGAGCACGTAACCGATGCTCAAAGGTCTCTTCAAGGGCTTCTATTGAAGTAGATGAGTGTGGCCTGCCATAAAACTCACCAATCTTCATTTTCACTTTGGCGTTGCTGCGTGGTCGACCAACGACAGTCAGCTGAGTAAAATAAAAAATATTGTTATCTATAGAGCTGCAGCATTGTAAGGAGAAGCAGCTTTAAGGGAGGATTGAAAATGTCCTCTGTTGTGAGATATTCTCTTCTAAAGTCTGTTGTTTTCATTTTAGGCAAGTCTTTGTGTCTGTCAAGACTGCATTGCCCCTCCTTCCCACRATAGGTAAGGGATAATAGGTTGGGGTAGATCATGTCTTAGGGTATGGATGTTACATGTCATGTCTTACCTTGACAAACTGACAGACAGGGGGAGGGTGCAAGTCCTTTAGCACACAGCCGCAGCTCCCAATGTCTGATACTATGGCAACCCTCTTGGCATCTTTCTCCTCGCCCTCCAACCAAGCATCAATAGAGAGTGACGATAAGTCAGAACAACTTGGAATAATAATATCTGTAATTTCCACTACAGATCCAAAGTCCAGAATAACATGGTGTCTTGCTCCAGAATGAAGCCGCTCTATAATGAGGCTTTGTGGTAAAGGTAACTGAAAAGGGTAGAAAAGAATAAAATAAAAATTGAAAACAGAAATGACGAAAATGAAAATAAATGAGATTGAACAAGAGCAAAGCAAAAAGACAAAAACCAATTCATAAAATAAATAAATAAATAGAGGATATTACATGGGTGCGCGGAGATACGAATTTTATCTTCGAAGATAAAATTTGTATCTCCAAGCGGCCATGTAGTATTCTGTTTATTATATAATTATCAATGATGTTTTGGCTTTTTCAGGCAATTCTTTCCGTGTATTTTTGAATAGCCATCACAATGGTGTTATGTTCACACGTGAAAATAACATGTTATTTTCACGTGTGAAGATATCAATTTTTCGAAATAGAGAAAAATAGATATTTCATCGGTAATTATATAATAAATTAAAATAATAAACTGTCAATGTAAACTGAAAAATTAAGGTTGGGAACTATTCAAGGTAAAAGATATGAATAAAGAAAAGAATGTCAAAGTTGGAATGATAGAATTTAATGGAAAAATCTACAGTTTCAAACTTAAACCTAAAGTTGTAACTCAAACGCAAGATAACTGCTGATAAAAAATAGTAAAAAAAATTATTCTGGAATAAAAAATTTYGAACCTTAAATGAAAGTACCTGACTTTGCTGACCATGAACCAAAGGCAAATGTGAGCCCTTTTTGGTCTCCACCTTCTTATTCATCATCTTTTTCTGCAGCGACAGGTTCACAGAACCTCCAGAGGAGTGCTGCGGGTAATAATAGCTTCCTTCTGGCCAATGATAGTAGTGATTCCCTCCAGGGTCGGTTGCTTCCATCACAGGGTTTGGAATGACTTTAGGGAAACTGGACCACATTGCTAGTTCTTCTAGTTCCTGTTTGTGCTTCTCTAGTTCTTGTTTGTGTAGATGCAGCTTGGCTAGTTGGGTGTAATGTTGCTTGGGTAAAAGAGAAATTCAGTGAGAATGGAATCCAGAAGAGAACTGACAAGAAACAGTGAACTTCCTCAGGGCTAAACCTCACATGGTTGCCTACTCAACCAAACAACTCTACTGACATGTAAATTATGGATACAGACTAYGAAAATGAATTCTTCATCTTACTGACAGAGGTGAGAACTTATACAGTTATAACCTCAGTGATTCTGTAAGTAACATTAGTAGTAACAACAAGAGCAGTACTACATTAAGCTACAACCAGGGCTTAAAATAACAGTCTGTCATCATACAATGATATGACTGAGCTAAAACTACACCTGTGACTGATTGGCCATTACTTTATGCCCTGTTCATTTTACCCAAAACAGAAGCAAAGTTCACAAACCTTCAAAAACTCAACATCTGGTGCTGTTGAGACAGAAACCGATGGAAGCATAGAAGCATATGACTGGCTGTTAGTAGCACCAGTGGTTGATAACCCTGGCACAGATACCACTGGGGTTGACTCAGACCTCTCTACTCTGGCTCCGTCACTGCTTGAAGTACAACTGAAATGTAATGGTTCAACCTCTAGTAGACCTTGGTGAGGAACAAGTGATGAAATATACTGAGAACTGTCTGTGTTGCTCTCTAGATCTTGAAGTCCTTCAATGAAGAAACAAATACATAGGTGATACTTCCTTATCTTCATCATCACCACCACCATCATCATCAC